ACCGAAAATGCTTTAAATTGCATTTTAAAACAAATCTAGGTATTATAAATGATAAAGAATGCTAATGTTGATATAATGATCGAAACCAAAAATGCTTTAAATTGCATTTTAAAACATGAATAGGTATTATAAATGATAAGGAATGCTAATGTTGATATAATATCGATATTTTTTTGAAAAAAGCCTGCTAGGATCGAAACCGAAAATGCTTTAAATTGCATTTTAAAACAAATCTAGGTATTATAAATGATAAGGAATGCTAATGTTGATATAATATCGATATTTTTTTGAAAAAAGCCTACTAGGATCGAAACCGAAAATGCTTTAAATTGTATTTTAAAACATATCTAGGTAATATAAATGATAAAGAATGCTAATTTAGACATAAAATCGATATTTTTTTTGAAAATAGCCTGCTATGATTGAAACCAAAAATGCTTTAAATTGCATTTTAAACAAATCTTGGTATTATAAATGATAAGGAATGCTAATGTTGATATAATATCGATATTTTTTTGAAAATAGCCTACTAGGATCGAAACCGAAAATGCTTTAAATTGCGTTTTAAAACAAATCTTGGTATTATAAATGATAAAGAATGCTAATGTTGATATAATATCGATATTTTTTTGAAAATAGCCTACTATGATCGAAACCGAAAATGCTTTAAATTGCGTTTTAAAACAAATCTAGGTATTATAAATGATAAAGAATGCTAATGTAGATATAAAATCAATAATTTTTCGAAAAAAGCCTACTATGATCGAAACCGAAAATGCTTTAAATTGCGTTTTAAAACAAATCTTGGTATTATAAATGATAAAGAATGCTAATGTAGATATAAAATCAATAATTTTTCGAAAAAAGCCTACTAGGATCGAAACCAAAAATGCTTTAAATTGCATTTAAAACAAATCTAGGTATTATAAATGATAAAGAATGCTAATTTTGATATAAAATCAATAATTTTTCGAAAAAAGCCTACTAGGAACGAAACCGAAAATGCTTTAAATTGCATTTTAAAACAAATCTTGGTATTATAAATGATAAAGAATGCTAATGTTGATATAAAATCAATAATTTTTCGAAAAAAGCCTACTAGGATCGAAACCGAAAATGCTTTAAATTGCATTTTAAAACAAATCTTGGTATTATAAATGATAAAGAATGCTAATGTTGATATAAAATCAATAATTTTTCGAAAAAAGCCTACTATGATCGAAACCAAAAATGCTTTAAATTGCATTTAAAACAAATCTAGGTATTATAAATGATAAAGAATGCTAATGTTGATATAAAATCAATAATTTTTCGAAAAAAGCCTACTAGGATCGAAACCGAAAATGCTTTAAATTGCATTTTAAAACAAATCTTGGTATTATAAATGATAAAGAATGCTAATGTAGATATAAAATCAATAATTTTTCGAAAAAAGCCTACCAGGATCGAATCCGAAAATGCTTTAAATTGCATTTTAAAATATGAATAGGTATTATAAATGATAAAGAATGCTAATGTTGATATAATATCGATATTTTTTTGAAAATAGCCTACTAGGATCGAAACCGAAAATGCTTTAAATTGCATTTTAAAACAAATCTAGGTATTATAAATGATAAGGAATGCTAATGTTGATATAATATCGATATTTTTTTGAAAAAAGCCTGCTAGGATCGAAACCGAAAATGCTTTAAATTGCATTTTAAAACAAATCTAGGTATTATAAATGATAAAGAATGCTAATGTTGATATAATGATCGAAACCAAAAATGCTTTAAATTGCATTTTAAAACATGAATAGGTATTATAAATGATAAGGAATGCTAATGTTGATATAATATCGATATTTTTTTGAAAAAAGCCTGCTAGGATCGAAACCGAAAATGCTTTAAATTGCATTTTAAAACAAATCTAGGTATTATAAATGATAAGGAATGCTAATGTTGATATAATATCGATATTTTTTTGAAAATAGCCTACTAGGATCGAAACCGAAAATGCTTTAAATTGCATTTTAAAACAAATCTAGGTATTATAAATGATAAAGAATGCTAATGTTGATATAATATCGATATTTTTTTGAGAATAGCCTGCTATGATTAAAATCAAAAATGCTTTAAATTGTATTTTAAAACATATCTAGGTAATATAAATGATAAAGAATGCTAATTTAGACATAAAATCGATATTTTTTTTGAAAATAGCCTGCTATGATTGAAACCAAAAATGCTTTAAATTGCATTTTAAACAAATCTTGGAATTATAAATGATATAGAATGCTAATGTTGATATAATATCGATATTTTTTTGAAAATAGCCTACTAGGATCGAAACCGAAAATGCTTTAAATTGCATTTTAAAACAAATCTAGGTATTATAAATGATAAGGAATGTTAATGTTGATATAATATCGATATTTTTTTGAAAAAAGCCTACTAGGATCGAAACCGAAAATGCTTTAAATTGCGTTTTAAAACAAATCTTGGTATTATAAATGATAAAGAATGCTAATGTTGATATAAAATCAATAATTTTTCGAAAAAAGCCTTCTATGATCGAAACCGAAAATGCTTTAAATTGCGTTTTAAAACAAATCTAGGTATTATAAATGATAAAGAATGCTAATGTAGATATAAAATCAATAATTTTTCGAAAAAAGCCTACTATGATCGAAACCGAAAATGCTTTAAATTGCGTTTTAAAACAAATCTTGGTATTATAAATGATAAAGAATGCTAATGTAGATATAAAATCAATAATTTTTCGAAAAAAGCCTACTAGGATCGAAACCAAAAATGCTTTAAATTGCATTTAAAACAAATCTAGGTATTATAAATGATAAAGAATGCTAATTTTGATATAAAATCAATAATTTTTCGAAAAAAGCCTACTAGGAACGAAACCGAAAATGCTTTAAATTGCATTTTAAAACAAATCTTGGTATTATAAATGATAAAGAATGCTAATGTTGATATAAAATCAATAATTTTTCGAAAAAAGCCTACTAGGATCGAAACCGAAAATGCTTTAAATTGCATTTTAAAACAAATCTTGGTATTATAAATGATAAAGAATGCTAATTTTGATATAAAATCAATAATTTTTCGAAAAAAGCCTACTAGGAACGAAACCGAAAATGCTTTAAATTGCATTTTAAAACAAATCTTGGTATTATAAATGATAAAGAATGCTAATGTTGATATAAAATCAATAATTTTTCGAAAAAAGCCTACTATGATCGAAACCAAAAATGCTTTAAATTGCATTTAAAACAAATCTAGGTATTATAAATGATAAAGAATGCTAATGTTGATATAAAATAATTTTATAAAAAAAAAAAAAAAAAAAAAAAAAAAAAAATCAATAATTTTTCGAAAAAAGCCTACTAGGATCGAAACCGAAAATGCTTTAAATTGCATTTTAAAACAAATCTTGGTATTATAAATGATAAAGAATGCTAATGTAGATATAAAATCAATAATTTTTCGAAAAAAGCCTACCAGGATCGAAACCGAAAATGCTTTAAATTGCATTTTAAAATATGAAAAGGTATTATAAATGATAAAGAATGCTAATGTTGATATAATATCGATATTTTTTTGAAAATAGCCTACTATGATCGAAACCGAAAATGTTTTAAATTGCATTTTAAAAGAAATCTAGGTATTATAAATGATAAAGAATGCTAATGTAGATATAAAATCAATAATTTTTCGAAAAAAGCCTACCAGGATCGAAACCGAAAATGCTTTAAATTGCATTTTAAAACAAATCTTGGTATTATAAATGATAAAGAATGCTAATATAGATATAAAATCAATAATTTTTCAAAAAAAGCCTACTATGATCGAAACCGAAAATGCTTTAAATTGCGTTTTAAAACAAATCTAGGTATTATAAATGATAAAGAATGCTAATGTAGATATAAAATCAATAATTTTTCGAAAAAAGCCTACCAGGATCGAAACCGAAAATGCTTTAAATTGCATTTTAAAACAAATCTTGGTATTATAAATGATAAAGAATGCTAATGTAGATATAAAATCAATAATTTTTCGAAAAAAGCCTACTAGGATCGAAACCAAAAATGCTTTAAATTGCATTTTAAAATATGAATAGGTATTATAAATGATAAAGAATGCTAATGTTGATATAATATCGATATTTTTTTGAAAATAGCCTACTATGATCGAAACCGAAAATGTTTTAAATTGCATTTTAAAAGAAATCTAGGTATTATAAATGATAAGGAATGCTAACGTAGATATAAAATCGAAATTTTTTTGAAAATAGCCTACTAGGATCGAAACCAAAAATGCTTTAAATTGCATTTTAAAACAAATCGAGATATTATAAATGATAAGGAATGCTAATGTAGATATAAAATCTTTGGTAAGATTCTAGTTTACAAACTTATGCTGTGCAAAGCACTGCTGATCTATAGAGACTTTAAATAATTTTTTAAAACTAAAAAGTATAAAATAAATACTTTATAAAAAAACTTTTTAAAAAACCACGTTTTTACCCGTGGACTTAAAAGTAGAAAATAATTTTTTTATTGGGTTCAAAGGATATTGGTTTGAAAATTTGAGATTGATTTGAAAGTTTCATACTAAAGTCATGGCCTTAGATGAATTGCAAATTTATTCACTTCGACCATATCGTTTAGTTCTACATCTTAAAACGTGGGCACATTCATTAATATTGTATATTAGGAAAGCTTAAATTTTAAATAAATGCGCCCACGTTTTAAGATGTAGAACTATACGATATGGTCGAAGTGAACAAATTTGCAATTCATGTTTGGTCACGACTTTAGTATGAAACTTTCAAATCAATCTCAATTTTTCAAACCAATATCTTTTGAACCCAATAAAAAGTTATTTTCTACTTTTAAGTCCACGGGTAAAAACGTGTTTTTTAAAAAGTTTTTTTTATAAAGTATTTACTTCTTTATCTTCAGCATTTGTATTCGCAGGTTTTAATGAAATAATTATTCTGTGTGTTATATTAAGTAATTTAGTGAACTCTGCTTTATTCATAATTCATATTAGTTGATGAAAAATTTAAATAAAAAATTAGAATGCTTAAAAATGACATTTCTGTACTTTTGATTCAAGTACCAGTAACTTCCTTTCTTGTATTATTTATCATCATCCCTTTTAGTATTGAATATGTTAATATTTTTTTTTGATTGATTAGTGTTCAAACAATTATTAGGTATCTTAACTAAACATTTCAATTTAAATGTCAATCTCGTAAAAGTGAACGTAAGAAGGGACAGACAGCATTACCACTTAAGATCATTACCAGCTTCAAACATATTAGTATCGTCTTCACAAAACATTGCATTTGATCCAACATTTACATGATTATTAATGAAATTATCGCGGTCCGATATATTTTGAAAGCTATTGATGCTAAAAAACGGATCATGCTGTTGATATATGTCATACGATATAATATTCTCAAAGTCCATTGGAGTAGTTGTTGTCAATTCGACTGCACTATTTCCAAACATATCAAAATTATTGATTCCATTGAAAATATATTTGTCATTATATTTTACTTCCTTTTGCTCGATGTCACCCAGAAGTGAACTGTTTGATGAAGAATTGACGATATTTGTTTTGAACGTGTCAAACATGCCGTTATCGAAATTTCCTATTAAACTATTCTTAATTCCATTATAACTATTACTATCAACATTTTTCATTACATTATTGCAATAATTATTATCAAAAACATTACACGGTAAATTATCATTGTGAGAATCTTTCTTAAAGTATGATAATGCGTCGATGTTGCTTAGTGATGAATTCGAGTTCTCTTCTATTTCCATTGGAAAACTTATCAAGTTTTCATTCTTAAGGTTGTCAATTACATCTACAGATGTTAAAAGTTCATTGTTAACGCGAGCACCTAAAACACAAACATAGCATTTAAAAAAAATAAGTATTAAACTGGTTTGGTTTTGTAAAAATGGCAAAAGTAAAAGTGCCATGTCTTACCTCCTAGAATTTCTTTATTAAGTGACGAACTAAACGATGCGCTCGAGTCGAGAAGAATTTTGGGTGTTTCAATGCCATGCTTGTCTACATGATGATACGATTCATTTTCTCCATTCCATTTTTCATTTTTAAGGAGAATTTCCAAAACATCGTTAATATCGTCCTGAACAATTGCATTATTATACAAAGAATTTACTTTATCTTTACTTAAATCAATATCGGTTGGATCGGACTGTGGTAAAACTAAGCTTTGCTCTATATTTATATTATTAGTAGTACTATTACTATTGTTGTTGTTATTTTCAGAATCTTCAATTTGTTCCTGCACAAGCATTGGTATTGAACTGATTGTTGGTGTTTCTGTTGAATTTAATGGACTTACTCCAACGACAAAAACCGTCGACAATTTATTAGGTATTTGATATTTTGTATTATCATAGAGTACACCCGTTTGGATGCTATTAGAATCGGGTATGATTTGAAAAAATTGTTCCTTACTACTCATGCATGTATCACTTGATTCCGATACTTTACTCAATCTAATTTGTTCCAATTCGCTCTGACTCTCGAGTAGCTTTCTTTGAAGCTCTTCAATCTGTCGCTGTTGTTCCTTAACGATATCATCATCTTTGAACTGTGCGTCAAGCGAATCTAAGCTATTGCTCGATAACTTCATAGTGAGTGTATCTTTTGACTCTTGCATTGGCTTAATTATAGTTTCAACCTTTTCATAATTTCTACAAATATCTGAAGGCTTGAAAGGCAAATAAGGCTTTAGTCGCTCTATTAATAAAGGTTTTGGCCCAGAAACGGGTAAATTTAATTTTTTAAGATATGACTTTAATTCTGATACTTTCATTTTCCCTAATTTATTTGCATCAGTAATAAGAGCATCTTTGTCAATCGTTGTATTCGTTGATGTTGGGGATTTTGATGGAAAGATTGTAATAAAAGGTTTCTTTACATCTTCATTACGTGCTTCATCTTGATACTTTTCAATTACTTTCTCATGTGGTGTTTGCTTATCTTGATGACAATCATGTTCGCCCCCCTTATTCGGATTCTTATAGATTCCTTCTAAATATTCCAATAAGCATTGTTGCTGCATTATTAATTCATAATTTGTTTCTCCAATCTTTTTATTATTATTATTATTATTATCATTCATAATTTCTGACATCGATGATGACGATGACATTGATATTGATGTTGAAGGAGTCATAGTTGATGAAAAGCTGTTCTTTTGTGCATTTGGCGGGCCTTTATATTCATGAAATTTGATTGCTTTAATCTTTGATGTTGGTTTTATTTTGCACTTCTTTTTCAACTTATCCTTTCCAGAACTAGAGAACTTTTGATTGTTTTGTAAAAATGAGGATATATGGTGCTTAATATTTCCATCAATATGGGGCTTCGGTTCTCTAATTATTTCCGTTGGTGGCTTCTCACTCTTAATTATTATATCATTTTGATCTATTCGTGTTGCTGTTGTCGTTATAGGAACAAGATTTTCAGCAACTAAACAGGGCAAGGTAATGGTATCGTGCTCATTTGAAACAGTCGGTATTTGTAGTGTTAATTTTGGCACAAGTGGCGCTATTACACTTGTGTGTAATGGTAAGTTTAAATTTATCACATTTATTGGAGATGTTATTTTGCTTTCTACAAGTTCTATGCTATTGGTGTTCAATGTTATTGGTTGCTCATTGTTCGTTATATTGATTGTGGCTTTCAACAAACTATTATCCGCTAGCGAATTTATGTCTCCTTCAGAACTTTGGGAATCGTCTTCCACAAATAAATTGTCTGATGATGCTTTAAATGGAACCAATCCTTCTTTAACGATCCTTTCTATTGGTTCATTAGCATGAAGAATATTTTTCTCAATCAATTCTAAAGGACCTGGTCGGTGAGATATTTTTGAATTTAGCTGATCAACAAGTATCGCTTTTTCCAACATTCTATATTTATCCGCTAAGCTTGGATCTATGTGACTTTCATGACTCTCTAAAATGTGTCTTCTTTCTAATTCCTGCCGATTTGGTCGTTGTTGTATTTTTGCCTTCAGCATATCTCCTGTTTTAGCTCTTTCTAAAAGTTTCTTCTGTTCATGAATCGCGGGTGATGTTTTCAATGCTTTAAAATGGACCCGGTATTAATTTTATTAAAATTTTAATTTGTAAAAAAAAAATTAAGTTAACTTACGTGGAAGAATTCCTTGTTCCACAAGTTGATTTGCGGATCTTCGTACCATTAGTTTTATTTTTAGCGCTATAGTGATTAAAGGATTATGAAACATTATACATTTATAAAATCAATGATTAATCAAGTAAATAAATCAAGCAATTGCTCACATTCTCTGTTCCTTTCCATAGCTGATTGTAACGGACTAGAATCGACAAGAGCCTTTGGAGGAGATACGCTCTTTTGATGGATTTCTTGACTATCCATTCTGGTTTTTAAAAATCTGTATTGGGATAAAGCACGCAATTAATATAAAAATTCAAAACTTGATTCTGGATCTACCAGAAAATGCATTTCTAGATATTTTTTTTTTCATTATTATTTTTATCATTTTTTGTACAGAAATGAATGCAAGAAAATTTGAAGCTATTTATTTTTTTTAAGGTGTAAAAACCTTATAAACTTATTTACAATGTCCACATTGGCAAAAATATTTTCAATTATATATTTGAAAATCTGTGTAGGTTCCATATTTTAAGGTAACTTACTTATTTTTAATTCTATGCTGAATAATTTTGCATAAATGAAGAAAATTTTTTGGACCTTTTTAAAGAAAATTTCCTCCTATGAATTGGATCTTTTATTTCAGGATTTCACTTTTTCTGTGATAATTAAAGTATATTTTCCTTTTTTTCACTATCATAAGTAGCTTTTAGTATCTCATTTTATTTAATTAAAATTAATTTTTGAACAGATGTGTCTCTTAATTTTTTTTTCTCTTAACTTACAGTTCTCAGGAACTGAGCAATTGTTAGGCTGTCTATGCATTTCTCGCGTTAATGCAAAAAAAAAATTATATCTTGAAATTTTAATGAATTTGTTGAACTTTTTTTTGTCACATGTTTTTATTTTAAGTTTGGTATTGATTCAGTTTGACTCAGTCTAACACTTTCATTTGCTTGAATTTTTAAAAATTAGATGCTTGATCCTCTGAAAAACAGAGCATATATACAGCCTAGCATTTGCTCAATCTTGAATTCATTCAAATCGACCGTTATAGTCCGTAGCTAATAGCGGTACTACACATTGTACAAAACACAATTAAGTTTTAAATTAGAATGAATGAATAAAAACATTTCGATGCTTGTGATTTTTTCCACTGATGCAGATATGTATTTTAAGCTTTTTTAAAATTCATAGGTTTTACGTACATTTTTTAAAATTCATTTATTATCTTTAATCTCAATTTGATTTTTAAGTTTTCGATATTGCAATTGAAGATTCTTGAAATTGGTTTAGGCACCTAGAAGGAAAAATAAATTTATAATAACATTAATAATAATAATATTAAGATCATGTTCATCATTTGAGAAGACGAAGATCGTAAAATTGCAAATTAAAAAGCTATTTTTGGGGATTATGAACAGAAAACGGCAGTCAAATAGTATCAGAACCCTAAAACTTATTTCCGAGCTCTTCAAGACCGTTTGCTGTAACGTTTTAGAGCAAGCATTATCCGTTCAATTAAATTTTATTCAAATCTATTTAACTGGTTTAAAATGTGGACTTAATTAATTGTAAAATAACAAAGCTATAAATAATTATGCTGAATTTCGTCGTCAGAAATTTAAAGTTAATTTCAAATATAAATCCTACAGTATCACAGGATTTTTGAAATCGTCCTTTTTTCTACAACGATGTATTTTGAATCGCGCAACCAGTTGATGTTGAATGTCCAAGCGACTTATTCATGATAATAGTAAAAGAAAATAAATGTGATCAACAAGTTTCTGTTGTTGCTTCTTGAAGTTGTAATTTTTTTGTCAACGACTGTGAATCCAAATTTTTATGGAAAGCATTAATATTTTTGAGTTTGTGGACAAAGGAAATGGATATTAATGAGAAAGAGTAAAAATCTAATTCTTTTCTGAAAAAGTTTAAGATTTGAAAATTACAATTGCGCATGTTTTGTTCTCCTTCTCGCCTGTAAGCTCATTTTTATAATATCCCCGGGTATAGAAAGCAAAAATCAGTGGGTTTAAATAAATTTTATTTTAAAAGTGGAAAATCATTTTTACAAGATGAATTAAAATAGAAAAAATAGTTCATAATATCAAGTAAAAATCAATTGAGTGTTTAAAAATTAAATAAGATTAAGCATGTAGTTTGGAATGTTGAAAAAATTATGTTCAAGTTTCGAGAGATAGAAGAAAAAAATTAAATCTCTTACAAAATTCATTTTTAACCATAATTATTTTCAGATTCATATGTATTGATAAAATTTTCTAATAGAAATAGTTCCGAACTTGGATATAAGTTTTATTAAATGTGCTTTATTTTGATTTCTGTTAAGAAAAAGCTAAATATGAAGCAACAGCTTTAAAACATGAATAAATTCAAACAGGTTGTTGCATTCCAGTGCTTTTTTGAAAATATATTTTTGTTAAAATGCTAACCTTGAGAAGAAAAATCAGTGAATGGATTCCTTTCAACTTTCAGAAAAAATCATTTTAACTTCTATCGAGCTTAAACGATAATATTCATCATAAAAAAATATATCATTATATAATTTTGGAATCTTACCAACATATCGTTTTAATCATATTTGCGTAATAATAAATCATAGTAATTATGCTACCATCAAACGTGATGTCCTTTATGAAAAAGGTACTTGATTTTTTGTTTTGATTTATAAAACACAAAGCATTAAAATTGTGTCTTAATTTTCTGCTATTTCTTAATCTTAATTGAATAGATGGTGGCTCAAGAAGAAATTACACCACAATCAGACAATACGGGGGCTTTTGGAAAACTAAAGCAAACTTTATCGTCATCTTTATTGACAGCACAAGATAAAGGTAACATCATAATGAAATAATCGTTTCTTAATTTTCATAAAAAGTAAAACGTAATAGATATAATTGCGCTTGTAAGTGCAGTTTGCCTTGTTTTTATTATGTATAGTGAACAAGAGATGGATATGTATAAAAATATATATGAAGGATATTTTCTTCATGTTAAGTAGTAAAACTTTTTCTACTGAGTCACAGAAACTAGGGCAATGGATTTTCTCTACTTAAACTTGATATTTGCCTTAAAAATCCATAAGCTTAATACTTATACTCATTTATTTGAAGAAAGATGAAGACAATTAGAAAATTATCTATATCCACTCGAAAAATCATTAATCATATTAATCCAATCGAATCACTGTTCCGATGACCTTCTCCTGAACAATTTAAAGAGATTTTTTATTAGATTCCTACCGAAACAACTCTTTAATGTCGTTAGATGCGAATTTAGTTCTCAACAAGAATACATGCTTTAATAATAGAAATAAATGAGCATTACGAACATTAGAAATTTTTTTTTGGGAATAATCTAATTAGTACGAAAGCAATTAATAAGGTTTCATCGACAAAATGACAAAGAGCAAAGAAATCAGTTGAAAATGTAATAAGTGGAGGTGATTCTGCAATATATTTAAGAAATTTTGTAATCATACACGTAAAATGTTTTTGTTCCATAAAAATGACTTTTGCAAAATTCTTCAAAAATTTCTAGTCAATAAAATGTCACCAAGACCATCATTAATACCAGATTTAGTGGAAAATTCACCAGCACAATCAAACAATACAGATATATTAGAGAAAGACAATGAAAGTGGTTCTAATATAAGTTCGGAGAAAAATGAAGGAAAAACAACAAATAGAGCAGGGTCGTGTAGAGTGTGCTTAAAGTCTTTTAAAGCTGAGGATTTTAGCAAGACTTGTTTTGAATGCAAATATCGTGTCTGCGAAGATTGCGCAAGTTACAGTAAAATTGATAGTTCCGAAGATTTGGTAAGCTTATGGAATAACTCCTTCATAATTGATGATCATTTTACTATCATCTAAATGTAGAATACATGGCGTTGCAGTGTCTGTCGTCGTAAGATGTCGTCACGAGTATGTATTCCGCAAGACTCAACAGACTCTAATTTGGATGTGCCTGTTTTGGAAGCTTTACAGAGACGACATTCTGATGTTAAACTCAATGCTTCGAATAGTCAAGCTGGTTTAATTCCACCGCGAAGTCCAGACTTAAGAAGACATAGTGATGTATCTCCAGCATCATTTAGAGAACTGGAAAAATTCACTAGCAGTACTAAAACTAATAGTAGTAATAATAATTTAAATAATAACGACACTGATTGGGATCTAATAAGAACTATGGTGCCAGATCGAATAGAAATTGAACCACCGACACGCATGAACTCAAGAAGGCAATCACGTGTATCTAGACAACATTCCTATGATGATGATCTTCAGAAAAATGCAATTTCTAATAGTTTAGTAACTGAAGATTTGTGTTTGCCTGTAGCTGGTCAAATACCGAGAAGGTATTTGATTAGATTTTAAATTTTTTCACATTGCCACAAATAAATTTACTAATCGATTTTTAGAAAATCGGCATATGATGTTTTTGGGGGTGTTCAGCCTAATCAGCAACAAATTTTATTACAATCAGCTGAGACCGATAAACCACCAAGTTCTCGTCGTTCATCATTTCGAATACCTGTTGATGATGATCAAGATGATTCTCCAAGTTCAGACAATGGCCCGACTTTGTTGATTGATGATGATAGACGCATTAGAAGACGTGGATCACAACTGTAATTCATAATAATATCTCAATATAAAATAACTGTTTTATTACATTTTTTTTTATATTCTTAGTCCTGATATTTCGGCTCTGCGAGAACGTGGAATTCTAGGAGTCAATCCTCAAGCTGCTACCCTTTCTGTAAATCCAGTAAATCCATACCAAGGACCAGCCTTAGAAGATTTAGAAGCTCCAAAGAAGCAAACCTCACTTGATGGAGAGGCAATAAAAATTGTAATCCACGACTTTGACTCTGGTCCACCATGTGCATCAAAAAGAAGAGTTGTTCTTAGAAGAGATCCATCTGATAAAGCCCATAGAAGTAATATTTTTAATAAACTAATTACTGACCATTTCTGAATTTCATTTATCCTATTATTCATTAAAGCAAGAGGATTTGGAATGCGAGTTGTTGGTGGTAAAACGGGAACGGATGGAAGACTTTTTGCCTATATTGTCTGGACAGTCCCAGGAGGGGAAGCAGAAAAAGGCGGACTTCGTCAAGGAGATAAAATATTGGAGTGGTGTAACGTTTCTTTAGTGGATAGAAGTTTTGAGGAAGTTTGTTCCATTATGGATCGCACTGGTGATATTGCAGAACTACTAGTCGAACATGCTTCAGACTTTAGAATGTGTGATTTACTTGAAGACAATCCATTACAATCGAATCCAGCTCCTGCGCCAAATATTAATGTGCGAAAAAATAGTGAGATGGTTACTTTAGTTGCAGGTATGGTTCTAATCTTTCCATTTTACTTTTTTGAATTTCTTTATGCTTGTTAAGATTTTAAACTTTAGATTGTTGGATACTCATTTGGGATTCTGATCCATATTTCAAGACTTTGTTTATTTCATCTATCTACGTTAAATTAAATAGAGACTCAAGTTAGATTATTATGACTATAAACCGCTATAGAGGATTTATTAATAATTCAGAATCCTTAATGGGTATGTGTGCTTATAGCAAAAACAAATGAACTTTATTGTTTTCTTTATAGAAACAGAGAATAATGATAAATCACCAGCGTCACCAACAAGAAGGAAGCTTCCAAAAACTCCGGTATAATTTCAAATATTAATAATTTTGTTCACAACAGTTTGTGATGTTTACAAAATACACATAGCCGCTATACTCTTGAAATATATTGATTTCATCAAACAAGAATGTACGTAATCTCTTTTTGACAACATATCACAAAACTGACTTAATACAAGATACAACGAAGAATTTTTTTAAAATTGAGAATGTTCGGCCTATACTTATTTTCATCATAAATTTGATATTAAACTAACAAACACATTTTACCAGTTGAGGAGCATTTGCAAAACTCAGAACGTATCAAAAAGAGATTATGCGCTACTTATGATTTTAAAAACGGACTCCTACAAAAATTTATTTTCACACTTAAAGATTTTTTAACTCGCATTTTTAATTTTTAAAACCAAAAAGTAAAATGTTTATTTTTACACGAGTTACTTACACTATTGAGAAACATTTCCAAAATATTGAACCATTATAGCCAAAATATTAAACAGGACAATCAATTAACCTTTCATATTGAATTTGAGGAGCTTTTTCTCTATTTTAAGTTAAGCTTTCTAAGAATCTTTATCGCACAAAATTTGGAAAAGTGATTGTTTAAAAAAAATGATTTGCTTTTATTCAATCGGAAATTAACTATATCAATGTCTTCATTTTCTATAACTGCACATTTTGAAATTCTTTTTTGAACATGTGTTTACAAAAGATATCTTTAGATAACTTATAAAAAATTAATTCTTATTGCAAAATCTTCCTAGCATGTACACTATTTATTTTTCTATCGATAGAGCCTATATATAAAGGGTTTCGGACTCTAAAAATTCATCATTTGAATAAAAATAAAAAATTTAAAAAATAGATCATGTACATCAATAAAGAATGCTGGGAACAAAAGCATAAGGATTAATTAATATATAAAAAAACTAGTTCGATACACCAGTAAGAAATAGGATGCTAATGTAACTCATGTTATTAGTAAGGAAGATAGAAAATATATCTATTTACAATACATTTTGCATAGGAAATTTAGTTGAATTTTTTTTTTGTTTAAAAGCCTAAAAACTATATTCTATATAATATCACACACTAAGAAAAATATACGCCAAAATAGTATTTCAATTATAATTATTTTTACATGCTAACACGTACTGAAGATTCTTTATATTATCATATAAAATCAAAAGACTAAAAAAAATTGAAAATTTTGTGTGAATATGATTAACAAAAACAAAAATTAAAATTATGCTTTTGTCAGTGAGGATGGTTCTAAAAAGTTAGTACAATAGTCTTAAATCATTGAAAATAATGAACAAATATATATTTGTCAAAGAACATCAAAAATTTAGATATAATGAAAAGATGAGTATTTAATTGAAAGGTTAAATATGGAATATAATCAAATGAAACAAATTCAATCATTAGGAAAATGAGAGCTATAAATTTCGTAGCATATTACTTTAATCTATTCTCTTAATCTTATTTTTTACAAATAAATGAAATCATGTTTAATACAATTTAGCATTAATGTTATAAAAAATTATGAAAAAAGAAGAATCAACTGATAAATGGATGAAATATCTACTTTTTGGTTTGTAAAAGATCGAAATTTTCAAGACTTCGTGTATTTAAAGATTTTATTAATCTTTTATAAGAACAACATTCGATAATAATTTAGAAGGAAAACTGTGAAAAAACATTAAGCAAATACATTAGAAATTTTCCATGTGAGGATATATTGTAATAAGTGCTAAAGAGCCATAAAAAATCATCCATCTATGTTTATTACCTTTATTTGAAAGATGTTTTTAAAATATATTAGATTTCGTAGTAATAACAATAAGCTTAAGTTTTATATTTTTCAATACAAACATTAACAAAAGATTTAACTCATTTAACAGTAAACAAGTTCTTTTTAAAAGTTATTAAGATGATGAAGTGAATGATTGGTACCGATTATTATTTACTTTGAATTAATTGCTTTCACAAAAACTGCATAATAATTTAAGACAGCCTAATTTTGGGATTAAAAAGTTTTTTTTAAAAAAAAATAAGCATTGTATTTCTGGAAAAGATTAGGACCAAAACGTATAAAATATCATAAATAATAAAAAGGTATATTACTGCTTCCGATAAACAGCTCTCTAATGTCATATATGAACTTTAATAATCAATGATGATATCATTTTAATTAGTATTCAAAGACATAATTTATCAATATGTAATGTATTAGATATTGAGTATCGTTTGGTTTATAGGAAAAAGCAGATAAATCAACCATACCTCAAGAAAAGTAACTTAGAGAGAAATTTGAAACAACAAATAAGATACATAAAATTTAACTCCAAGATTAGCTATATTTGTATCTCAAATTTTACTGTAGAATGTGATTACTTTTGATAGTTCCTATTCTTCTTCTGTTTGTCTCATATTTTTCTTAAGTGCACAGTATATCAAGGTGGGATTGAAAAAAAAATCAAAAAATTAATGAATTATGTGTATCGAGTAATATTTGAAAGAGAAATCGAAATTCATTAGTAATGTACTATAATATACAATCATGATTTTCTCTTAATGATAAGCTTCGTTAAATTTCTTGATTTTTTTTTGTCTACCTTGCAATTTAAATGATACAAAAAAAAATGTTTATGACCTTTGACTACACGAAGCTGTCAAGTTTAAAAATAGAAAAAAAAATAGTGGTAATGAAATCATTACTATAAGTACGATGACGTAATAGATGATCCGATCAATGTTTTTAACTAAGAATAATTAAAAATGGCATTAAAAGAGAAATATGAAATGATTTATTTAGAAGAAGCCAAGAAGAAGTTCGTAGAGAAATAATTAATTTAATTTAAGATATGATCATTAACTATCTTCATATTAACAGCTATAAGCTTTCATAAACCAAGAGAAAACACTAGATATCAAAGTAACTTTTTATATCAGAAATCTGTTGTTCAGTTTTTTAGACTTTAAAAAATATTTAAACAGTGAGTTATGTTTGAAATAATATACATAATTAATTTGGATTGTTTATAATTCTTAGTAGAACTAGCAAATTTTCTGATGATTATATTTATCATCTACAAATCGTCTGTATGTAGGATTAGAAATCTTATTTAATAATGTTCTAATAATCATGAATAGATTCGAAATAGAAGAGAATAGATGATTCAGATGTTTAGAGACAATAAAAAAATTGACAAAGAAAATGTATCTATCTTTTATTCATCATCTAATCGCATGTAAAAATTTAATTTTTTTTTTGTACTACTGAATGACCTTCCCACTGACAGGAGTAAAAGTAATTACTTTTTTATATCAAATCTGTACTATTTGTTACTTTTTATCATTTATCAATTGCTAATTATTAATTATGTTGTAACAGTTATTTCCTTTCTTTTAAGACTCATTTCTTACACAAAATCCTCATTTTTTGCTACACTTTTTATTTGGTCAGAAGTAGTACAAAAAACTTTTATTTTATTATTTTAAACTTTCATCATCATAACATCATTATATTTGGTTTTACATAAATACATCCATTTATTTTTTTAAATTCCATGATCAATATACATATGTGCATCATCACGGGCAAAAACAAAAATGCATGTTGATGAAGATGTGTTCATATTGTTCATAACATTTCAAAATCATACTTGTTGTGTACTACTAGCTTGTTTCATGATATTCTTATCATCCTGAAAAATAATTTCTCGTAAAAAAATATGATTTAGGAGCAAGCATTAAAAGAAAAACAAGTGTCTGGTAGAATTCAAGTTCAAGTTTGGTATCATGATGATCGTAATGAATTGGTTGTGAATCTTTTGGCTGCTGATGATTTGGCATTTAGAGATGAAGGTAAATTGATTAAACATAAAAATATTTTTGAAAACGTTATGCCACTTTCTGATAATTTAAAATTTTATTGACACAAAAGCTATGGGATTTGGAAAACTTCCAGAAGCATACGCAAAAGTTAATTTTGCACCTAAGAGGTCTGTACAATTTTTGCTCGATTTGTTCATTTAATTTTACCCCTGAATCATTAATCTTAAAAATTAGTGTTTCATGCCAATATGCCCTTAATTATCAAAAATTTTAATAATACTTTATTACTATAGCGGTGTTGGTCATGTTGCACAAACTGAAGTTTGCATGCCCAATCATAGCCCTATTTGGAATGCAACATTAATGTTCGATATTGGAAATGGAAGTAATTTGATTGATAGTAAAATTGAAATTTCACTCTGGGATTTGATTCCTCAAAATGACTCGTTATTTCTTGGTGAATGTAGTGTCGATTTAAAGGTACATTTAAAATATAAATTCAAAACTAGACGCGAAAATAAGTTAACTTAAAAATTAAATATAATTTTAGGATGCATTACTAAATGACAGATCGATTTGGTATAGATTAGAAGATCCGAAAAATTTAAGACCACAATCACTGTCAAAGTGTCAGTACTTTAATCCATCTCCAAGAAATTCGGCAGTCTCAATAGTGACAGGATTTATTAAACGTAACGACTATAGCATTCAGAGATCTGTCTCAGATGATTGTGAATCTATCGGCGAGAGTGCATCATTACTTCATCCTGATCATGCTTGGTTTCAAGGTTCTAGAAGGGGTTCATCACAATCCGAAACACTTGAAATTGAAAGTTATCAACTTAATAAAGATTTTTCAAAAAGTTTACCTGGCAGTCGTCGATCTTCTTTCCAAGATCAAGAGAAGAAAATGATGGAAGGAGTAACAACTCCTCCTTCATGCATTGCAAGAAGACGGTCTTCATGCGTTCGTAAAGATCCTGATGAAGTTCTGAAATCATTAAAAGCCGTTCGTGGAGAATTGGGAAGAACGATGAGCTTATGCAGAGAAACAGAATATAACAACAACAGACTTATACGAAGTAATTAAAAAAATTATTTTTTATTAATTTAAAATTATCATATAAAAATTTATTCAAAGGATCCAGTCGCATAAACTATGATACTACATTCGAAGATAATTGGAGAGGATCAACTGGTAATTTTCATAACCAACATCAAGACTTGAAGCTAGGTCCTGGGCAGAGAAAGCCTAAAAACTTTGTTATGAATTCACCAAAATATGGAGAACTTTTTTTGGAATTCCACACAACAAAATCATTTTTGGAAATTAGGGTTAATATTTTTTTAAAACTTTACTAAAGTAACATTATTGTACATATAAGTCTCATTTTTATAGATTTTAGGAACAAAGAGTATTTCATTTTACTCTCCTGACAATCCAGATACATTTGTAGAATGTTATATAAAGGATAACAATGAAAAAGTAAGACAAAGGAAAAAAACAGACACTGTGAGAAACAGCCTTTGTCCTACGTTCAACAACATTGTTAAATACGCGGTATGTTTGAATGCATAAAAGTTTTTAGTAGTAATTTTAAAGTAGCTTTAATTAATTTATAGATGAGCGATATCTACCGAAGATCAATTGTTTTTATATTATGGCAGACTAACATTGACTATGAACGAAACA